GCTGAGATGGTGGATTTGGGGTTTTTATGAGCTGTATGCCATAATCATCACAATTATGACAAATCACGGCTTGAACTATCTTGCTTTGCATGTCTATCTCATATATTAGTTTCACCTTTTAAGTTGCATTACTGAAATAAATGAACTTTTGCACGATATTCTAATTTTTCAAGTTTCACCTGTATGTGATATTTTGTCATGACTGGTATTGTTTCTCTTCAATGCAAACAGAGTTAAAATCTGCCACTGTTATGCCACTTCTGCTCCATAAGGAAAGCTAGGCTCAGTTGCTTTCCTGTTCGAAGTTCATTTATCAAAAATCTCCCTTCTTTGTAGTGTTTCTGTAGTCTCTGAAAATGATATCCATGTAATTAGCAATAACATAAAAATAATGTGTAAAATATAATGAATCAAAAATACCAAGATTTTGTTGGGGAAAAAATACCATACTACTAAACAATGCATATACTTTGTGCATATATTCATTGGGAGAATACATTGCTTTTTTAGAAGTAGCCCATGTGCATTTTGTTGGATATGCATATAATAAAATGTGAACTGATAATTAGCAGAACTGAGCTATCCAAAATCATTTCCAGTACTATTGAATAAAGTCAGCTTCATCTTCAATGTTGCTCCACCTCTAATCCCATCCCTCTGTTATAGGCACACAAAGGTATTCCTAGAACAGTCATTTAGCCTTCTAGTTGACCTGTCAGTCTATTAAAAGTACTGTAAGTTGCGAATATAGGCTTTAACTTAATGTGCTTAACTGACTTTTTATTTTTTAATTACATCTTAAATTCTGTCTCCTTAATGTATTGAGGGCTGCCTTGTGTACCATTTTGACAGAAAGGCAGACTGTAAACCTAATCAACAAGCAAAGTCAAAAATCCCTGAAAAACTGGATAATTCTTTAGCAATTTACAGGCATTAATAGCATGTTTCTGCAATTTTTGATTGGTAGCATTGTTTGGGTTCGAAAGACATCCTGAACTTCAAAGTGAGTCATTAATGTAGGGGTGAATTATACTTTGAGCTTCAATTCCCATAACAAAACTGGGTATAGGCAAGAGATGGTGGGAATTATCATTCAAATCACTGCAGAGTCTAAGACTGTCTATTCTGGCCTTAATGGATAGAGTAAGGGGGGGACAACAGAGAATGAGGTGGCTGGATGGAGTCACTGAAACAATAGGTGTGAGCTTAAATGGACTCCAGAGGATGGTAGAGGACAGGGAGGCTTGGAGGAATGTTGTCCATGGGATCACAATGGGTCAGACACAACTTTGCAACTAACAACAGCAAGTGTACCTCAGTTTATGACAAAAAGAACTGGACACTTTGGGGGCAAATATAATTCTGAGTAAAACCATGTAGGATTATGGCTCTGCCATTATTTTTACATTTTTACTAGAAATGCCTGTGGATATCTTCAACATAATATAATAATCTTGGAGACTTTTAACAAAACTACTTGATATGATGCAACCCTTGGCTACTTCAAGGTCCAATTTCATTTGGTCAGTTTGGCATTAGCATTTTTACATAAAACAAAGTTTATAGATTTATCCACTGAAGTTTTTTTTAAAATGACAAAAATTGTGCTGAATGGCATCTTCATTAATTTACTGGAACTCATGCCCACAAATGAATGCAAATGAAACCTGCAAACAAAAAACAAACAAACAAACAAAAACCTCCAGCAGATATTGACCACGTAATCCTTGGCAGGGCAAATGAAAACACTTAAAATATAAGACTTTCAGTAGCCATCAGAAAGTTAAAGTACTGTATGCTGGAACTTGAAGGCCTTTATCTGCAAACAAACGAAAGTATATTAATAGTATTTACAAATACTAAAACTAACAGTATTTTGTTCACAGTGCCATTGCCTATACAGGTAGCTTTCCATGATACTTGTATTTTGGCATGAGAATATCAATATCAATATATATATTTGTATATATAATGAAAAACATACAAGTGTGATATAAACAGGCCACAGATACAGCCATCAAAAGAGACATCTGGGAACATTTAAACTATACAGCTCTTCCCTTTTGATTCGAGAGGAAACATTGTTATTTCGGTGAGAATGTCAGTCTTTTTTCTAAAGTGGCTTAAAATGATCAATGGGTACCACTATGAAAAAATCATTGTGTACACAGAATAATCTTACTTCAAGGTTCTTTAAATGCCTTTTCCAATGCATCAAATACAAAAATTATAAAAGACATTAGTCAGTTAAAACTTCTCTCTGTGTGTGGCCAAATGTCTTCTGATGATGCTGGTGGTGAGTTTTATGTGCAGCCCAGCTGCCAATTCAATGTACATTACTCCAAGCCTTTGTTCAAAACACCTGTATCAATATCACACAAAGTTAATGCAACTTGATAACCCAAAATGCACTGGTCTTTCCTGTGTCCTCCACTATTCCTATGAGTTGATTCCTGCTTATCAGTCCAGTTTCATTATCTTACCCAAGCTTGAGATCAGCGGTGACGAATGGCTTCAGATATTAAGATGAAGAAGGAAAATTTGGTGGCACTTCAGAATCAAACCTACAAATAATGTAGGTTTTTCCAATAGGAGGTTACTTCAGGTTCAGTTTTCCTCCTGCTTTCTTGATTTTCTGTCTTGATGATGGGTCAACAGACCTGCAGGATTTTGTTGCTGTGCCACCTCTATGGGGTTTCTCCTTCATTAAAAGTCTGTCCTTCGTTTTCAGAAATTTGAAGTGAGTGGTCAATGGTGATGCCATGTTGCTTAGGAAGCAATCTCTTCCACTTGGTCTTGTTTCTTCTCAGATGGTTTAGCATGTTTTCAGATAAATGAGTGTTCCCAGTAAAGTTGGCCCATTCTTCAAAGAGTGGCTCCACAATATAAGTCATAAAGCCTGGAGAAAAACATAAGGCAAGTTACATCAGCAGTTTAGTGATCACTAAATGCCCTTTTCTGCTAAGTCAACATTCTACTCTGAAAAAGGGCTCTAGCATAGCTTCAAGGTTGCATTATTTGGGTGTACCTTAATTAATACAAATTAATTAATATTAATTTTATTTAACTTACTAAAATTATTTTGCTTTTCTTTTAAAATAAACTTTTGCTCTCACACTGCTCTACGCCTGCTGGAATGTAATGCTATTTGAACGGATCTGATGGTATCCCGCCTGGTTATTTGAGGGACTGACTATTTCCCATAACCAGTGAAACATTAACCATTAATCAGTGGAACAAGAGATTGTGGGTGTTTTATCACTGGAGTTTTTAAGAAGAGACTAGATACCCACTTCTCCAAAATGGTTGGATTAGAACAGTGTTGGCTAAACTTTTTGTCTAAGCATGCCAAAAGCAAGGAGATCTTGGGGGGGGGTGCATGCGTATGTGCCCACACCCATAATTCAATGTGCTCCCCTGCACATGAGGGCACAACCCCCCTGCGCATGAGCAAAGGTCTCACTGAAGCCTCCGGACTTCCAGGAAGCGCTTTGGGCCATTTTTTGCCCTCCACAGGGTTTAGGAAAGCCTTCTGAAGCCTCTGGAGGGAGAAAAAGGGCCCAATAAGCAAACCAGAAATTTGGTAATGGAAGCCGGTGGGCCCTGTTGGGCCGTTTTTTGCCCTCTCCAGGCTTCAGGAGGCTTCCATGAAGCCTGGGTAGGGCAAAAAATGGGCCAACATGCAAACTGAAAGTTCAGGAATGGACTTCTGGGTTGCCTGTTGAGTCGTTTTTCTCCCTCTGGAGGCTTCAGGAGGCTGGTTCCACCACAATACCGCGAAGCCCTTATCCAAGGAGACATAAGCACGAACCCTAATCCACGCCGTCCGAATCGCTAAAGCAAATGCGACCTTACCGCGCTGACATAAGGGCGGAGGGCAAATCCGC